GCGTGTAGCTGGGGACGCGGTGGTCCCTTTCCTGCGGAGTGTAGCGGAGGGGCCGCAGTACTACTTCCGCGCTATGAAATGAATGTCAGCGTGAAGCTCGCCGGGTCTGAGGCGAGCCGTGGGCTCAAAGCCTAGCTGTGCCACTTAGTTTTCTGTGTCTCGAGGCCGCTTGGTGAGTCTTGTAGACCCTCAGCGTCGCCTTCTGTGCAGGGCGTGCTGCGCTGCCCCCGCGGGGATGGACGGGAGACACCCGGGAAGCGCGTTGCAGGGCGCCTGCGCGGGAGCGCCGTCCGCTTCCTCGCCGCTGCTGCTGGCGGGACGCGGCCGCACTGTCGCCGGGGACTCCGCGGGGAGCAGGCGTGGGCGCCTCCGGCCTCCTGGGCGCCCCGTGGCATGGCCGGCTGCGGTCTGTCCCGTGGAGAGGTGCTGCGTCCCCCATAGACCTCCAAGGCGCGCTCTCCCTCGCTTCTGATAAGTAACTCATTGTCTTCCCCGGGCTTCCGGGGCTCGTTGGGAGTAGGTGTCAGGGAGGTGGACTCTCGGGTCCAGCCGTGTTCGAGTTGCCTCCGTTCTGGAGTTGGAGACACTGGATTGAGCTGTGGAGTGAGGGCTTTCTCCCTGGCCTCCAGCGTGGTGAAATGTGGATGCGCCTGATTCCGCGCTGGCTTCTGGGTGTGGGGGAGGCGTCAGAAGGAAGAAATCAAGGGAGGAGGTCGCGCAAGAGCAGGTGTGCGTTCCGTCACAGGGTCTGGCAGCGGCCGGGGCAGGAGGTAACGGTTGCTTCAGGGAAGTAGTCCAAGGGAGAGTTTTCATGAGTGTGGCCGTAGTCACAGGAGGTTGCCATTTAGTGATCCCCTTCCAAGTACTATGCTCAGCATTTTAATGGATGGCTTTTATTTATAGGGGACTATAAAACAGAGACAGTTGTGTGTTTATTTTTCATACTGGAGGCGGCTGCTTGGGGGGGATTTAATGCCGGCGGCCTGGCTCGCAGCTGGTGTTCTCTGCAGTGCAGCACAGGCTCTTTCCACGGGTCAGAGCCGACCCAGGGGCCACATCACCCAGCAGAAAGAGTTGGGAGGGGAGAGGGAACCCGGATCCTGGTTCTGGGAGCTTAGCAGCAGCTTCTGGAAAACGTGCTAAGCCCCTTGGACCTCCAAGTCCCTTATTTCTTTTCTTATTGAGGAAATTACATTTGCTGTATTCATCTCTGAAGGTTTTTATGGGGATAAAATGAGATAAGAACTGGGAACGGGCCTTGCACACTTGAGTGATGTATAAATAAAGGGCTTATGTTACTAGATTTTTAGCAACGTGGAGCTGTTTTTTCGTGGTGCTCATGTCGTCTTTTGATTGAATTAAACCTTTGGCTGATTGTTCCTGTCCTTTGCCAGTTTTGGCCTTGGATCTGTAGGGACGGTTCTCTGACAGTGAGGAAGTTGTCCCCACACTGTGGTGTCGGGGCAGGGTTGAAAGGTGTGGTGGCTCCCATCTGTCTTCCTTCTGGAAACTCTGGATGCAGGAAGTGGCTTCTTTTCTTGCCATCAAACAATGTGTATTTACTAATTAAGTGTCCCCTTCATCTCCAGCTCTGTTTGTGATCCTTGGGCTCTGGGAATTCAACCTCAGGATGTGTAATGGGTGGGAAGAGAGGGAAACATGCAGGCTGGAGGCTGTGTCAGTGGCGTGCACAACACGCGTACCTCACACTGTCAGCATGAGACCAGCTGGGATGACCTCGTGGAGGAGGACGTGAAGGTTTGAGTTGGGGCCTGGGGTCTGACTGGGGTGCAGGAGGTGGGCACAGACGGGGGAGCAGTGCAGGTACATAAAAAGACTGGGATTGTCTGTGCAAATTTAGGGAGGTCTGGAACATTGCCAAGCACTTGAGAGAGAGCACAGCTGTGTATGTGTGTGCGTGTTGAGCCATGTGAGGAAGGACCGAGAACACCAGGTCTGACTGTTGTGAACAATGGAATGTTCTAGAACGAGGTAGTGAGACACGAGGAGGACGGGAGCAGGAGGCTGTGGTCTGGGGGCCATGTGTAGGGATTTGTGGAGTTTAGGGGCAGATGTCTTTCGGACAAATCAGAGGTCCTGGACAGACCGAATCAAGGACTGCACGCAGGGGGAAGGGGAACGAAGGGCAAGCCCATCCCAGGGTTTTGACTGAGAGGTTGCAAGGTTTCCCTTGCCCAGTTCCAGAGTTCTCAGCAGTTCTGTAAAATATTTGTAGTTGACAGCAGCAACTCGTTTTCTGTGCTTTTAAATTATTCCAGGTTCATCTATGAATATTTCATTTTCCGCTAATTGGTCTTGAGCATCTGCATTATGGATGTAGCAAGATGTAAGATTAGTTTTGTCACCGTCCTGTTAGAGGATTTCCAAAGCTCTCAGGGCTGATTTTATGTTTCTTCCTTGACAGCCACATTGCGCACGGCCCGCTGGGGTCTGGGGCCACCGACAGTCTAACAACGTGATTGGCACCTGCTGTGCAGGACACCAGGTTAGGTGCTGGGGGAGACAGAGAGTCAGGACCTGGGCTCTGCCTGCAGGAGTCCCCTGTCCGCGAGGAATGACCCAGACTGTGGCAGAGTCTCGCACCCTGTGGCACCATGGTCGCAGTCACATGCTCTGGCTCAGTTCTGAGGAGAGAACGCCGGGTGTCCTGCCACAGTGTGTGGGCTGGACCCTAGGTTAGGGGCACAGTTGCCCGCAAGACTGCTGACCCCAGCCATAATTTTGGGAGTCCCTGGGCCACCCTCTCTCTGACCAGCTAGCTGCAAATTCGGGGACCCCAAGGACTCCCTCTGGTTCCTTAATTTGCTAGAATGATTCACAGAACCCAGAAAAGTACTATACTTGTGATTACCATTTTATACAAAAAGCATAGAGGTCAAAACCATCCAATGGGAGAGATGCATGGGCCAAGTCTGGGATTGGGAGGGTTCTAGACATGGAGCTTTTGGCCCTCCTTCTCCCCTTGTGCAGGCCTGGATGCTCTTGCTTCTTCCTGCTGTATTACGTGATGGGACTCTGGTATTCCCAGCCAGGGATGCTCACCCCAGCCTTCAGCGTCCGGCTTGATGACACACTGCCCACGTGGCTGGCCTTCAGTCCCTCCTCCCGTAGGTTCTGATGAACACCTCTGTTCTCCGGTTCTCCAGAGGTCAGAACTGCTCTGACTGGTCACAGGCCCTGTCATAAATCACGTTGTTAGACTGTCGGTGGCCCCAGACCCCAGGCAAACAGGTGGTCCTATCAGGCAGGACCTTCTGGGAGCCTCAAGGTCACCCCAGTAGCTGAAGGCAGAGGCCACCGCTCTGGGTAAGGTTCCTTCTTCACCACCCAGCTACACCCTCAGCCTGTCTGAGGAGGAAGGCTAGTCTGCACAGCAGGGTGCAGAGGCCTTCGTGGCGGGTGGGCCCGGGCCCAGACTTCCATAACCATCACGCGGCTCAGTCGACGTGACACTCGGTAGGTGTTGGGAGCCTTGTTGCTAATTCTGCTTCTCCGCCCCTCAGTGCTGCTTCGGCAACTTGCGCAAGCACGTGCCATTGGGAAGAGTAGCAGGGAGGGAAGTTTCAGTGACTATAGGGTCAGCGGTTTGTTCTTCCTCCGTATGTCCCTCTCCTTGCCCCATCTGCCCCGGCCTCCCGTAGGTGTCAGCTGGGCCTTGTAGTCTATGCAGCTGTTCCCCCCCCCCCCGCGGAAAATCCAGTGTGGGCAGTGGGATCCGAGCATCTCGTGCCCTTGTTTGTCTTGTCTGGTCTCTTCTGCCTTCCTGTTCAGTACTTTCCCCTCCTTTGTTCCCCCACCCCATCTCCAGCACGCCCCTTGGTAGAGCGGGAAGGAAGTCACCATCCGCTGTGCTGGCTGCCCTGGCCAAGGAGGGTTCTGGTTTGTCTCTCTTGGTCATTGTTGACCACCCTTTGGCCCTGAAGCTCTGCAGAAGCTCTGCCCCTATAAGCCCCCCCCCCCCATCCCTTTCCCCCATTGTAGTGCATGATCTCCCTGAGTTCTGGGGACCCCATGTCAAAGCAGGCTCCTTTGTCCAGAGCTTACGTGGTCATCATTTTGGCGTGGCCCTTTTCCCTGGATGGTGCTGGAACCCTATACCCCATCCTCTCTTCCGCTGCTCAGATTGGGAGGACTGCCAATACGCCCTACCTCAGTAACGCCCTAACCTCAGTAGGCCAGTAACGCTGGGTTGTCAGCTAGATGGTGTCCGGGGTACCTGTCAGGTCACATCGTCTGAGATCACGCCTCTCCACCTTCACACACCCAACAGCACAGTGCTCCCTGACCCCCCTTACCCATCGGAATTCCCACCTTCATTCTGGAGCTGAAGGCCTTAAAATTGAGCACTAATTGAGAAGAAATACAAGTTGAAAAACGATTTGAAACTTGCTCAGATGCAGCTCTGAGCATGCAGTCAAACTCCCTAGGCCGCTAGGAAATGCGAAAAATACTGCTGCTGTCTTTAGTCCTGTGGTTGGTAGACTTTAGGTTGTAATTATTTTTTCTCTGTTTTATCAGAACAGTTTAGCTGTGGTAATTATGATGCTTTGAAATAATCTGAGTAGTTGTGGAGCTCATTAAGACCATGAGAAGCTAACAGCCTCGGCGAATCCTTTGCGAGGAAGTCCTTCAGCACTTTCTGAGACAGGTGTAGATAGGGTCAGTGGCTCACGAGGGGTGTGATCCGTGAACCAGGGGGGGGTTGCTGGTCACAGCTTAGAACCATCCCCACTTTACGAGAGAAGATGTGCAGAGGTTCTCATCAAACGGTATGTCTAAATCAGGATATGAGGACGTTGATGACACGGTAGCCAGAGGAGCACTAACGATACCGTTCGTAGCTGTTCATTTCCGCAGGTGCTTCAGACTTTGTTTTCCATAAAGCACGAAACTGAGCACATTTGCACATTTGGAAGTGGGTGTGTGCCTCGCACCGTTGCCGCGTGTGACTACATTGTGCCCTCTTGTTTCCTCGGCAGAGTTTTCGGTCATGAAGAGGAAGAGAGGCAGGCCCAAGGGCTCCACGAAGAAGCCCAGCGCGGAGGAGGAGCTGGCCGAGAGCACCGTGGGCCCGAGAGCGGACAGCCCTCCGGTTCCCGAGGAGGGCAGCGGCCCGGTCCCCGGCAGCCTGGAGTGCGGCAAGTGCTATCGAAAGTTCTCCAACCCGCGCCAGCTGAGGAAGCACATCTGCATCATTGTGCTGAATTTGGACGAGGAGGATGGAGAAGCAGGTACGATGCCCGAGGGCTGAGCGCGGCCGTGTCCTGGGGAGACTCGTATGTACCGACGGCTTCATGGGGACAGTCACCCGTGGGATGGCGCGTTTCTGTAGGAGGCTCCCCTGGCTGGCACAGTTCCTCTTTGGGCTGTACGTCCTCTGTGGATTGAGGGTATTGTGTGGGAGGTGGTGCCCACGGAGTGTGAGTCGGTCGGTTCTGGGGTTTGCCGAGAGGGTGAGACGTGGTCTGTCCTGCGGTGCACTTACGTTCTGGATGGGACGGCAGGGTTGTCCAGTGCAGACCGTCAGCAGGGAATAAACCCTCGGTGACGGGGAGTCGGGAGGGAACCTGCCATCGCAGTCTGGGGGGCACTGGGATTCGCGGAGGGAGGATGTCTCAGCTGATGGATGGGGCTGCGTGAGCGTGAGTGCGGACGTTAGGATGCTCAGGCCCCCTGTGAGGGACCTTGAGGAGCCAACGGAAGCCGAGGGCTAGGTTGAGGCGGGCATTCTGGAAGCAAATAGAGTGTTGGGGCTCCCCTCACACATGTTCTTGGCTGGACTTCAGCTCTGCAGCCGCTTCTCAACGAGGCTGAAGGGAGTGCGAAGGAGTGACGTCACCGTGGCAGAGCCTGTCTCGTGGGCAACCTTCTGGGGCAGTGAAATAGCACCACTGGCCTGGGAAGGAGGGCCTGTCCTGTGGGCTCTGCTGTCGTTTGGCGTTTGTGCTGCTTGTGAAGTGTTCAGACGGCCTGAAAGTTAAGGAAGTTCTTACAGTGCTTTGTGCGGACTCAGGACGTCACATGGGAGACCGTTCTGGCTGAAACATGGGCTTTGGGATATGGTTTCCTGCATATGAATCCCAGCTTCTCCGGCCCTCACCAGATTCCTTCTGCCTCTGATGCCTCATCTGTAAAATGGGAATAAAACCCAGCACTCTCTCATATGGTTGCTTTGAGGGTTAAATAGGGCAGGACTTACAAAGTGCTCAGAACAGCACCTCCATATGAAACGTGCTCAGCCATGTTAGCTGTCACTTTCTTCATAGCAGTGTGGAAACAGCACTGTGGTCCTCCTGCCGGTTTTATAGACAAGGGTAGTTAGGCCCCCGGAAGGCAGGTCGTTAGTCTAGGGTCCTTCAGTTAGCAAGGGGACCGAGCCTTTGAACCTCCGTTCTCAAGTCCTTTACTATAAATACCTCCAGCGGCAAAGCAAGACCATTGGATGCAAAGTCCTCGCACAGATTGGGGGAGTAATTGAGTAACTCATCACCTTACCCTTAGCAGACATCCAGGCTGGTGGCCAGGACTCATTGCCAACTACCTGTGCAGACTGAGGAAAATACGAAATGTTGTTCTTTCCTTTGAGGAACTGCTCTCAAGGTGACTGTGTGAACCCTTTCTTGGCTGCATGGACTAATGCACATAACGGATGAGCATTCAGGCGAGAGAAGTCAGCGGGAAGGCTGCTGACCCACGGCAGAGCACGAGTCGTCGCCCTGTGAGACATGTAGGCAGGGAGTGCTGTGGTCTCCGAGCCTGATGCCCTTTGGCAAATAAAGAGACTTTTAGAGGTGAGATGGTTGAGGAAGGAAGGACTAGGATGTACCCCCCTGCCCCTAAAGGGCTAATTTCTGGTGGCTTTGTCAGCACTGGCTCTGGATTATGGAGTTGCCCCCATGCCAGGCACACCCCCTCCTCTCTTTTCCTCACACAGATAGTTAATAGTGGTGGCATTTTTTTGTTTATTAAGTTTTTTACTTTAATCCCAGTACAGTTAACAGTGATACTAGTTTCAGGCGCACAATATAGTGATTCAGCAAGTCCATACGTCACCCGGTGCCCATCACAAGTGCCCCTGCAGAGGACGTCCCCATCCCCTTCCCCTAGTTCTCCTCCCCGCCACCATCCCTCCCCCATCAGTGTGTTCTCTAGAGTTAAGGGTCTGCATCTTCATTTGTGGTTTTTTTCTCTTTTGTTTTGTTTCTTAAATTCCACATATGAAAAATCATGTGGTGGTGTTCTTTCTCTGACTTCTCTCACTTAGCGTCACACTCTGGCTCCATCCGCGTCGTTGCAAATGGCAAGAGTTCGCTCATTTTGATGGCTGACACTCCATTGTATGTATAGACCACACCTTCTTATCCATCCGTCTGTCGGTGGACAGTTGAGTTGATTCCGTAGTTTGGCTATTATAAATAATGCTGCTATAAGCAAAGGGAGCATGTATCCCTTTGAATTAGTGGTTTTGTATTTTTGGGGGCAAATACGCAGCAGTGTGATCACTGATTGTAAGGTAGCTCTCTTTTTAACTTTTTGGGGAACCTCCATACTGTTTGCCAGGGTGGCTGCATGAGCTTGCATTCCCCATGGGGGTTGCATTTTCATCAGGGGTTCAGCTCTAGCCTTCCGAGCAGCTCCATGGGTACCTCCCCGGGTCAGAGAATCAGACTCTCCGCTCGTTCAGTGCTGTCTTCTTGTGGATCTGCTTTATTTTTGTGCCTTCATGTGATTTATCCTATCAGACTCCTTCTGGGAGACTTCTGGGCTTTTTGTACAGTTATGGTTGGAAATCAGGGATCTCTTTTGCAAAACCTTCCCACTGCTGCTTCTTCCAGAGGTCAGGCCTGGATCTAACTTGGATGCAGTCTGAGACGTTCACTTAGTTAGATCTGTGGGTGTTCTGCACTGTCCTCAGGGTTTCTTCCCCCGACACAAAGTTTTTTAGTGTCTCCCCTTTAGAGTAAAGTGCACAGTCCCCTCCTGGGCATTCAGGACCCTCAACAAAAGGGTCTTTCCTTGGAGCTCTACAGCATTGTTTTTCTGTGTCCTGTTGTTTTCAGTTGATGACAATTCAGTTATTTCTAGGCTTTTGCTGTTGTAAATATTGCTTTAATAAGTGCTTCTTTATACACACGCATATGTGTGTGTGTGTCTATGTATGTGTGTGGGTGTGTATACACACCCATGTACATCTGTATTTGTAGACTTATACTGTTATTTTTATAGGAGTAATTCCCAGAAGTGTAACCCCTGGTATATTATATGTTACCAAATCCACGCCACGAAAGCTCATACCAGGTCAGATTTCGAAGGTGTCTGACAGTGCTTATTGGATATTGACATTTTTAAATTTTTTAATGCCTGAGATGATACCGAAAATACTAAGAAGAAAGTAACAGTAATCAAGAATCTCACTGCCAAGGTGTATCGACTCTTACGCTGTATAAAAAAGAGAAGAAAGATCCTGCTCAGTTGTATGTACATGCATGTTTTTTAGAAATGGGGTCATACGCATGTTCTGTGCTCTTTTTTCACTCACTAACGTGGCCAATAAAGTTTTCATGTCAGTATTTTTTATTCAACGAGCTGTTCCATAGCACTTTCTGGATACTCACCATCTTACAGCTCATTTAAGTCCCAGCAACTTGAAGAAGTCGGCACTGGTGTTATTTCCACTTCACACAAGAGGAAACTGAGGCACAGAGAGGTTCAGGAGCTTGCTGAGGTCACACAGCCTGTAGGCGGTGGGGCTGGGTTCAGAACCTGCCACAGTTCAGTGGCTGTGCTCTGGTTCCTGACCCTGAACAATCAGTAAGTGCAGATTTTTGTCATTTTTAAAGGCCACCCACATTTCAGCATATGCACAGGCCATGCATTTTCCTTCATCAGTTTCCAGTCTATTGACATTCACGATTGCTTTTTATTTTTCTCCCTGATTGAAAAAAAAGAAAAAACACTACTCAGGTGACTCATCTTAGGCATGCATTTCAATTTTATTATTATATTTGTACTCATGCTATTATTATCTTAGGCAAATACCTAGGCATGTAATTGCTGGGCTAATAAGGGCATATTTTACATTTTGATACGCCTGCACATTGCCAAGCTACCCTGCAGACAGCATCTGTCCGTTACTTCCCCGACGCTGCCTCCCACCCGCCTTGTTCCTCTTGCGTCCTGTCCGTCCTCAGCCCTGCCAGGCTTCTGTGCCAGTGATTTCTTTTAATTATTTAAATTAGCGGCTCTGTGGTCACAATCAGACCTTGTGGTTATAGAGTTACCGGGAAATGATTTGTGTTTTGTGTGTAATTTGGGGTCTTTCTTGTTTGTGCCCTTTACTTACTACACCTTTGGGTCATTGTATGGGCAGGAAGTATTTTCCGTAGTTTATCATTTGTCTTTTCATTCCATTTGTAGCCTTGCTTCACTGGAGTTTTAAATACTTGTCACTCCTGTCGAATGTCGCTTTTCAGCATAGCTGGGAGCGCTTGCCGATGCCCCCAAATAATAAAACACATGCTTCTGTGTCTCCTCTGTGATCTGTGTGGTCTTGTTTATAACCCTGTCTTTGGTCCATCTGGAAATCATGGTTTAGTGAAAGTCGTAAAGTAAGATGGTTCTATCAGTAAACATGGGCAAAGGAATTATCTTAAGAAATGCAGTTTGGGAGATAAACTCTTTCAAATCCTAAGGTCCACAGAGAAAATAATAAGGGTCTGGCCCCAAGTCTCAGAAACCCTTTAAAAAGTAAAACTTCAAATTTTGAAACCAATTACAGATTCACAGCAAGTCGCAAGGATTGCATAGAGAAGTCTGGTGCCCTTAACCCTGTTTCCGCTAAGGGTTGCATCCTACGTGGCTGTGCAGCAGGACGTCAAAATCTGACACGGACGGAGACACGTGTGTGTGCAGCTCCGGTCACGTCACCTGGGGGACACGCGCTCCTGCTGCAGAATCGCCCCACCCCCACCCTTGACAACCAGAGATCTGTTCTCCCACTCTGTAGTTTGGTCATTTCAAAAATTGTGTATCCTCTGAATCACCTGGTACGTGACCTTTTAAGATGGGCTCGAAAGACCCCGTTTGCAGGTTCAGTTTCACGGTTTTGCATTCGTGGATGGTGACGTCCGGAGGTGCCGCTCATCTGGTCACGCACCTTGCCCAGGCTGGGGTTGGGGTGCGCGCAGCCCCCCCACCACCTGCATCCCGCCCCGTGGCCGGCCCTGCTGCG